GCAGCCCTTGAAAATCTCAGGGCTGCCACGTGAGGGGAAGAGAGGAGAAGATGGGCCTCTCTGTCGGAGTGAATAGGACTGAGCACCTCGCTGGCCACCGGGGATGTTTTTTGGAGCTGGTGGAAGACATCGTGTGACTTCTGAGGGCCAGAGGGAGGCTTAGCCTCCGTGAGGGGTCAGCTTCTCTCCTCCCCGTCCCCCAAGACTCTCCTTGGTAAAATTCACCTCTGTGGGCTGTTCTAGATCAAAACTCACGCAATCCCTCTCACAGAGCAGCCAGAATGTCAGGAAACATTTTTTTCAATGACTCTTCTTTGCAGAGTTCTCCATTAGGTACTGAACAGCATTTCCTGATGTCCCTTGTTTTCTGTAGACATCAGTCCCTGAAAAGGTGCCATCTGAAGGGGAGGTGAGCAGTGAGAATTTGCTGAGACAAGCCATGCAGAACTCAGGTCTCGTGATCGAGAGAGTTGCAGCTGAGCCTTGTGTTGGCACTGCCCAGGAGCCAGGGCCTGAGGGGGTGAGGACAGGAGAACAGCACTTTGTAGCTGTGGAAGAAGTGCAAACAGTAGGTGCCTACACCGTGTGCTCCTCTCCAGCTCAGGGATTAACTTTGGGTACTGGAGGCCTCTGCCTCCTGAAGGGGATCTTGGGGAAGCCCCATGAGTAGGACTGCTCAAAAGGACCTACACGCCTCATGCCCTTCACTGCATAACTGTGCAGACCTGGGCCTCATTGATCAGTTTCCTGTGCCTCAGGGTTAAAGGATCCCATTTGTGCTTTTTCCTGATGGAACCGTCTCCCCAGGCATGGCACAGTGTGTGTATACTCACAAAGTCCAGTCAGTCAGCAAGCATTAGTTAAGTGCCGGCTATGTTCCAGGAACTGTGCTAAGTGCTAGGGATACAGAGAAAGACAAAAACCACAATCTAATGAGGGAGACAGCATGAAAAAGAACTGTATAAACAAAGTGTATAGAGGATGAATTGGAGATAATCTCAGAGGGACTGGCTTCCTGCACAGGGTGAGATTCTAGCAGGAGCTTGCGGGAGGCAGAGTTGAGGAGGGAGAGGATTCCTGGCTGGGGATACAGCCCGCCAAAATGTCTGAGGTCAGGATAGTGTGTCCTGTTTGAAGAAGAGCCAGGAGGCCAGCGTCACTGGATCACAGAGTACTTATGGGAAGGAGTCGGGCATAAGAAGACTGGAAAGGTAGAAAAGGGGCTTTGAATGCCAAGCAGAATTTTATATTTGATCCTGGAGGTGATGAGGAATCATTGGAGTTTATTGAATAGGGAGGTGAGCAGGGTCAGACTAAGGTCAGACTAGGCTTTAGGAAAGAGCAGAGTGGAGAATAGACTGAATTAGTCATGTTCTGCATGTATATGTGTATGTTGGGGCAAAGTCACACTGTATTTATATCTATATTGCGGGGGGAGATGGTCTGAGGAGATAACTGTTTGTCCTTACAGGCTGACCCAGCGCCCCAGAGCGGATATCCACAGTATTCCTGCCCTCAGTGTGCAGAGGTCTTCAGGTCGGCCTCAGCCCTGGAGGTGCACGCCAAAGCCCACGTCGGTAGGTCTGGGTTCAGGTTCTCTTGTCTATCTTTGTCCCTGGCTGTCCCTCATAGCTGAGAAGGGCTTGAGAAAGGGAGGTAATGAAGGCAGCAGGAGGGGGAAGGAGGTGAAGCTGTAGGGGAGACTCCCCTACCTGGGATATAGGAGAGGGGTTGATTTTTGGTCCCAGCCCTCCACAAAGGTGGCCGTGATGTGTGTGTGTCGGACCTCATTACACAATTCCATATCTCCGTATCTCTGTAGCTGTGGTTAGGTACTGCACTTGGTATTCGCTTGTGTATGTGGGGATGGGGAATGCTTGGGGATGAAATCAGTGTGTGCCCTGGGGGGCTGGTCTCCCTTCGTCTGCAGGACAACAGCTGTTCCGGTGTGAGCAGTGTGGGAAGGAGTTCCCCAAGGCCTACCTGTTGAAGAAGCACCAGGAGGTGCATGTCAGAGAGCGGCGCTTCCGCTGCGGCGAGTGTGGGAAGCTCTATAAGACTATTGCTCACGTGAAGGGGCACCGCCGTGTACACTCAGATGAGCGTCCATATGCCTGCCCCAAGTGTGGGAAACGCTATAAGACCAAGGTGGGCTGTTTCTCCTTCATCAGAAAGGAAGCCAAGGTCCAGGCAGGAAGGGATGTGCTCATGGGAGCCAAGAATGGGAGAGAGCTGTTGCTGGCCCTTTCTTCATGTCCTGTTGTCACTTCCTGGGGCTTTGGGGTTCTGCCTACCCAAACAGGCTCCTTCTCTGTATCTCTCCGACCCTGCGGTGCCTACAAGTAGCCCCCTGCTACCCTAAGCTCCCTGGTGTGAGCTTTTTTCTCGGTGTGTCAGGTACAAGAGTAGAGTTTTGAAGGGGGAGAGAGAGAAGCTGTGCTGACGGCCCTGGGTGGAGGGGCCTCATGCACACCCTGCTTTGTCTGACAGAATGCCCAGCAGGTGCACTTCCGGATACACCTGGAGGAGAAGCCCCATGTGTGCCAATTCTGCAGCCGGGGCTTCCGGGAGAAGGGCTCCCTGGTGCGGCATGTCCGGCATCACACTGGGGAGAAGCCCTTCAAGTGCTACAAATGTGGCCGGGGCTTTGCTGAGCATGGGACACTCAACCGGCATCTTCGGACCAAAGGTTAGCCTAATGAACCCGGTGCCTTGGGACGTGGAGCTTGGGCCATGACTCCCCTTGCCTGGGTGGGCTTGTGTGGCTTGCGTCTTCTCTGGCATACTATGAGAGGCCGACATGTGGGGCTGGCTCCCTTTGATGGAGTGGGACCACACCAACTTGGATGCCAATGTAGCTAAAGCTTGGGTTTAGGCTGGGTAGTGTCACTGGGTGGGGTAGGGGGCTGGTTCCCCATGGGCCAGCCCAGGCCCTCACCAGGTAAGTGTCTGTGCAGGAGGCTGTCTGCTGGAGGTGGAAGAAGTGGTGGTGTCCAGGGCCAGCCCATCGACCCCGACACTGTCTGAGGATGCTCACACGGTGCTGGTGGAGTTCTCCTCCGTGGTGGCTGATACTCAGGAGTACATCATTGAGGTGTGGGCTAGGGTTGTGAGCCCATGAGTCACAGAACTTGGAGTGGCACACTGTGTTGGGATGGGGTTGGTAAGATTTAGAGGGGAGGGGTGGAAAAAGGGTGGGATTTCTCTGGGGAAAAAAAGGATATTACTGGATAAACTCTCTGAGCTCCCCATTTTGTTTTTTTCCCTTTTCAAGGCCACCACAGAAGACACTGAGACCAGTGAAGCCACGGAAATCATTGAGGGCACACAGGCTGAGGTGGGGTAGGGGTGGAGGGTAGGCAGTAGTGGGGACTTCGGGTCAGGTCAGGGGTGTGAAGCCTGGTATAGGGGTATGGGATTTCTAAGGCCACCCTAGAACCCAGGGACAAAGAATGAATTCTGGCCAGATCCTGAGGGATGAGAATGTGCCCTGAAATAGGAGAGAGGGAACTTGGGCCTCTTCCCTCTACTCAGGATGTGGAGAGCTGAGGCCTCCCCTCCCTCCTTGTCCTAGCCCTGGAGCTGAGCCTCCTCTCCCACCTCCCCCAGGTGGACAGCCACATCATGAAGGTAGTGCAGCAGATTGTGCACCAGGCAGGCTCTGGTCACCAAATCATCGTCCAGAATGTCACAGTGGATGAAGATGAAGGCATGGCAGCCAGTGCGGCAGCTGCTTCTGATACCATCACCATTGCCACCCCTGAGAGTCTCACAGAGCAAGTGGCCATGACCCTGGCCTCAGCCATAGGAGAGGGTGCTGTGTTGACTACTCGGGCAGGAATCGAGGCTGACCAGGCCACGGTCACTATGGTGGCCTCTGAGGACATAGAGATCCTGGAGCACGCCGGGGAGTTTGTGATCTCCTCACAAGAGGGTGAACTGGAGGTACAGACAGTCATTGTGTAAGGACTCACCTGGCCTGGAAGGATTGGGGTTGGGGTTGGCTCACCAACCAGGAGCAAATGTGTGTTCATCAGTGTTACTGCGTGGTCTGGAAGCCAAGGATGGAGGCAGGAAAGATCTGAGCCCAGAAAGAAAGTTCTGACAGAAGTAAAGATTGTGGAAAGGCTGCCTTGAATCATGCAGAGGATGGACACAGGTGGCCTTTGGGGGCCAAGGTATCTGGAGTGCTAGATGGGCTGGTGATGGGGTCTGGAGCTTCCCAGCTGGGCACCCTGGGGAGTTTGAGCCTGTCTGCTGTCCCCTAGCACTGCCGGGACCCTTCCTGAGTAAGCCAGGGAGGCAAGAAAGCCATATTGTACATTTGAAACCACAGAGCAATTTAAGACGAAAACAGAATCCCAAATGGCAGGTTTGGGGCTGTGAATAAAATGATTTTTCCTTTGTTTACAATAAAATATTAAAACCATTAAAGCCTTCAAGACTGTGTCCTCTGAGATTCCAGCTTCTGGCTGTCCTGCCACAGGCCTCCACATGCTACATAGCGCCCCAGAAGTGCTCAGAATGCTGCTGCCTTTTCAGGACTGTGAACCCCCAAGCATGGTGGTGTCTGTGGTTGGAAGTAGGTGAAGATGTGGGCAGTGGACAGTAGTGTTTGTGGGTGTGGGTGTGTAGCTGGCTGTCGGTTTCTGTGTCTGTGATATGGAGGGGAGCGATGCTGGAGTCTGGGCCTGGGCCACACCCTCACCTGTCCATCCTACTCTTCAGGCTCCATCCACGTGCTTACATCACCCTCGGCATTCCTAACTCAGGGCACTGGTGACTTAATGTGCTTGGGTGTGCCTTGGCCCTCCTTCTACAGACTCCAGCGACCAAAGACGGGGACAGAGGGGGAAGGAGGGGAATAGACCTATCACATAGAAATCTGACAGGGAGGGAGTAGGGGACCAAGTCTAAGGAGCCGAAATGTTCGGTGTCTAAAGCCCTGCTCCTCCCAGTACTACTCATTACTACTCCTTCCGTCCTTCGTAAGAGTTAATTCTGCCCTGAGCGAATTTCTCACCACTCCCAGTCTTGGCCGTTTGGGGGTGTGAGGTACGGGATCAGAACCTCAAATTTGGTCAGTGTCCGGCACCTCCCTTTCCACCTGCTTGTGGAATCGCGTTGCAGAGTCCGTCCCTGTCAGAGGGGGCGGGGCCGCTCCTTATACCGGCAGAGAAAGGGACATCCCCTGGAGTAGATGCTCAACTACGGTCTGCACAGGACTGAAGTCTCCTTGTGCGATTCTGACCCTGGACCTGGACGGCTCCCGGCCCCGAACTGATCTCAGACTTACCCCAGATCCCAGTCTGACCTAAGTGCCTGAACTAACCTCAGACTCTAGGAACTTGGACTGACTGACTCAGACTTGTGAAGCCCAGTGCGGACAGGAGCCAGAACCAGGAGCTTTGGCGTTCTACTGGAGGCATAATCTCAACCTCCTATGCAGAGCGGCTCCGGTTCCCGACTCACGTGAGTTCTGTCTCCCCTCCCGCTTGAGATCCATGGGCCAGGGATGGGGGGACAGAGGTCAGGACGAGGCGGAGGAGAAAGCCGTAGGCTTCTCCCTTCCGTCCGGCTCCTCACTCTGAAGCTGGGAAATGGGGATGGGGGAAGGGGACCGGGACAGAAACACCTGCACACTTGAGTGCTAGGGTAAACGTCTGTACATACGTGGAAGTGCAAGAGTGCAAACGGGTAATAGGTGTAAAAATGTGTCGGCGTGAGTGGATAAGCGCGTTCACGCGCGTCGTCTCTGGACTCCGCAGCCGGCTTAGTGAGCAGACTATGAGCCTGCCCGGGGCGCTGTTGGCCGAGCTGCTGCTCCTGCTCTGGCCCCTGGCCCAGGTCCCCACGGCCGCTGCCTCCCGCGAAGCTCCGTTCCGCGTGGGCGCCTTCAACATCCGCAGTTTTGGGGATAACAAAGTGGCCGATCCCGCCTGCGGCAGCTTCATCGCCCAGGTGCCCGGGCCGGGGCGGGACCCGGGAGCAGATGTGGAGGGAGGGGGCAGGTGGGGCTGGACTCGGAGGGCTGGGGGGGTCTCTGGGAAGGCGGCTGAGGGCCAGAACGCTGTGGTATCCCACCTGGGTGACTCCCTTGCCCCCTCCCCCAAGATCTTGGCGGAGTATGACGTGACCCTGGTTCAAGAGGTCAGAGACCCGGACCTGAGCGCCGTATCCGCGCTCCTGGAGGAGATCAACAGGTGCCTCCCGGGAACGCAGGGACACGGACACGCAGGGACACACCCGAAGGGGAGGGGGAGGGGGGGAGAGAGAGAGAGAGAGAGAGAGAGAGAGAGAGAGAGAGAGAGAGAGAGAGAGAGAGAGAGAGAGAGAGAGAGAGAGAGAGAGAGAGAATCTTCCTACAGCCCAGAGAGTCGAGCTCTCCACGGTACTGAGAGGCGGGGACCCCCCGCAGAGGGTAGTTTCGAAACAACAGCATTGATCTCTACGTTCCCCACTTTTGACAGACTCCTTTAGGCCGAAGAGGAGGGCGGGAGGCAAGCCAGGACCTTTACCCCCCTCTAACCCTATTACTGGGTGGGATGAGTCATCGGGTTCGGAATGGTGCTTGGTGCCACGGGGGCGGAGGTCGGGGCTGGGGCTTCGGGTCGAACAAGAAAAGGTTGATTGGTTGCCCAGGGGAAAGGGACTCCAGGAGCTGGGGCAGGAGCCGCAGGTGATCGCCCAGAATCTAGGGGGCTCGTTAGCATACACTCCCTCGGTCTCACTTGGGGCTCGGGTGTTGGATGAGGGACGTTCCTGGAGTCTGAGTCTTTGCCTCCCACCTGGGCATGTGTAAAGGTGTGACACCCCCCCCACACACACACACTTCTTGCCTATTCCTAGTATATCCGAGTACACTTACAGCTACGTGACCAGCGAGCCACTGGGACGTGACAACTACAAAGAGATGTATCTGTTTGTCTACAGGTTCGAGGGCACTAAGGGGTGGAATGGGGCGGATAGGGTTCCGGGCCTCAGACCCAGGAGAAAGCCAAAGGACTAGTCAGGGGGTGGGGATGGAACAGGACAAGTTCAGAGAAGGATTAAGGACCAGAAAAGGGCCAGGATGTTCAGTTAGCCAGTCAATAGGCATTTACTTAAGGTGCCTATGAGCATTGCTAGGCACTGGGGATACCAAGAAAAGCACACTCTCTGGGGCCTAATGGGGGAGACAACATGATAAACCATATAGAAACCATGTAGAGATATGTAGGAAAATTGAAGAGAATCTCAGAGTGAACGCACAAACATTTAAGGGGGATTAGGAAAGGCTTCTTATGGAAGATGGAATCTTAGTTGGGACTCGAAGGAAGGCAGAAAAGCCAGGAGGTGGAGATGACAGAGAGTATTCCAGGCATGAGGGTCAGGAGTCTGAAAATGGGGGTGTCTAGTTTTTGGAACATCCAGGAGGCCTGTGTCATGGGATTTCAGAGTATGTGGGTCAAGGGAAGTAAGGTGTAAAAAGACTGCAGGAATGAGAGAGGAGAAGGAGGAAGAGGAGGAGAACTACCCTGATCACTGAGGTTCCCCTACTTCACCCTCCCCAGGACAGAGACACTTTCTGTGTTGGATAGTTACTGTTACCCGGACCCTGAAGATGTTTTCAGCAGAGAACCCTTCATTGTCAAGTTTTCATCTCCAAATACAGGTGGGGCCAGCCTGACACATGCTGACCACACTCTACCCTGTTTCACCACTCTGGATTAATTCCCGTCTTCTCTCTACTGCCCCTACAGCTGCAAAAGAATTTGTCCTAGTGCCCCTACATTCGGCCCCACACAATGCTGTGGCAGAGATTGATGCCCTGTACGATGTCTATTTGCATGTGATTGACAAATGGGGGACTGATGTAAGACCGACTTCCTCACCTGTCTACCCATTCCCCTCACCCCCCAACCTCCTTCCCCATTCTCACCTACTTACCTAACTCTTTATCTCCCCTCATCTACTTAACTTCCTTCCCTACTACTTCTTCATAAGAGAGCCTGTGAAGAGGGGTCAATGAGGGAGATGAAGAGGAAGTAAGGAGCCCTCGGAAATGTTTCTATCTTGGGAATAGGTAATGTTGTCTCTGAACCAGTGCCAGGGCCACCCACACACCCTCTTTATTACTGCTGATCTCTTTTTGCAGGACATCCTTTTCCTAGGTGACTTCAATGCAGACTGTAACTATGTCAAGCAGCATGACTGGGCCAATATCAGGCTTCGAACTAGCGAGATTTTTAAATGGCTTATACCTGATGATGCTGACACCACTGTGGGTAATTCTGACTGTGCTTATGACAGGTGAGAGGAGACAGTCCACTGGGAGAAGGTGGGAGACTGGCAGGCAGGCAGTGCCTAGGGAAGGGTCCCTCCTGCTTTTAGGCTCTCTGGGAAACCAAAGGGAGAGGTGGGCCCTTGGGGAGAGGGCTGGGTCATCACTGTCCCATCTGTGTACAGGATTGTGGTCTGTGGCTCTCGGCTGAGAAAATGCATCGCACCCAACTCAGCTACAGTGAACAACTTTCAGAAGTCCTTCAGCCTGGATCAGACTGCAGTAAGTGTAGGAAAGAAGCCTATTTTACTACTGCTACTCACTTTTAAAAGGAGGGTCCTATCCTCTGCTCCTAGAAATGTTTTCATATAATCAGAGGTAATTTTGTCAAGCATCTGAGGACTTGGGCCATCCAAATAGAATTTTCCTCAAACCCTTCCCATCTTGTATCTGGCCAAATTCCATTAGTATTTATGGAGTTGGTGGAGACCTTGAGTCAGCTAGTCCATTCTCCTGCTTCCATCACAGCTTAACTTCTGAAGGCAGTTTTTCTACTGCCCACCCTTGAGTGCAAACCACTTATGTGCAAAGCTTGGTGGTGGTGGGGTGACGGCACACACGTGAATTCCCTCCTAACCCCAAGTCCTCCTCTGCAGTTTTGCCCTTTCCCTGTGGCACATTATTTAGAAAGTGAATTATATTCAGGGAAGAATCCAAAAAGCCTGTCGGGGCATTATATGCTGAAAAATTCTGTTTCCTGGCCACAGACTAATCTCCTGACCCTGGCCAAAACTGAGACCTATGCCCTTACCTAAACCATTGCTTCAGCATTAATTTCGCAAATGTTCATCACAAGGAAGATCAGGCAGGGGTATAGATAGATGGATGGATCGATGTAATTTTCGTTAATAATTGTTTAGAGTGCTAGGGGGAAAAAATCAAACCAACTGCTCTCTGGGGTGAGGACTTCTCTCTCCCATAGGGAACATTCTCTGTGTTGTAAAGAGAACACTCTTCTCATTACTACATTTTCGCTGGAGGGCTTTGGGCTTTGGGAAGGACTGAAGGGCAAGTCACTCAACCTTGTTTACCCCTGCCTAGAAAACCATCCAAGTATATAACTGAGGTTTGAAAAGATTAAAAAAAACAAAAGGCTGAAGATCAAAGAATGGGCTCTCTCTCTCTCTCTCCTTCCCTCCTTCCAGGCTTTAGCCATTAGTGACCACTTCCCTGTAGAAGTGACACTGAAAACTCATTGATGCTAAGGACTGTCTAGGAGGCTCTTCTTCAGCCTCTCGTCACATGCAACAAACAGCCCCACAGGACACCAAGGTGGGACAGCTTTCCTGGACTCTAGAGGAGTCAGGTGCGACAGATGTTTTTGCTTTTCCAAGACTGAAGCTTTCCAGGACCTCACATTTTAAACTGGTTCAATCCCTGGGTCCTGGGGGTCCTGAAACAGTTCTAGCAGTGGCCTGGAAGCACATATTCCCAGCTCCAATGAGAGGCCCATCCTCTTCCCTTTCCCTGACACCACCAAATGCTTTCTGCTGGGAACTCTCACTCAGCCTAACAGATGTGGAATTCAATCTAAACCTCAAACACAAAATTCTTCAGGGGTTTTCTATGGATCTTGACAACTAGCAAGAACCATGGACAAGATAACTAAATTATTAGAATGGGAAAGTCCAGATGCAGTCCCACTTCAGAAACTTACAAGGTCAACAACTCTGATTTTGGATGCATTAGCAGAATGAATTCATTTCATAGTTTTATATTCCCTGGGCTCATCTTCTGCCATGGCTCTTCATATCCCTGATTTTACTCTCCAGCAGGAACTGGGGAACAGGCTGCTGTGACCTGCCCTTTTTTGCATTTTGAGGTCAGGGCTACTAGTTAACACATTGTGATCAGCATTTCACAGACCAGGACAGCAGCTAGCTCTTCTTCAGTTTACCTGGTAAGAGTCAATGTTCAGAAAAAACCCACTTTAGAGAAAACAATTTTCTGAACACATATATTTGAAAAACAGGAAGGTGTCACTTTAACTGGTGTTCTATCCACAAAATACTACTCATAGATATTAAAATTTTGGCTCTCCACTCGGTCACTCCTCGGTCAGTTTTTAAATAACAAATCTTACATTTTGTGCTTTGCTGCTTTTCACATCCATAATTTCACTTGTCATAAAAGCCATGTGAGTTATGTAGTAGAGGGATCATTCTTTCTGTCGGACAGGTAAAGAAACTGAGGTCCAGAAGTTAAGGGGCTCAGTCCCAAACAATAGTGCCTTGCATTCTTATAGTCCTTTTCCATTTATGATTTCATTAGATTTTTCTAAAAACATACCTCTTCTGAAGACCTTCACAAATAAGTTGGTACTACATCTCCAAGAGCTTGGAAGACTTGGGTCCTCAAGTGACACACAGTGATTGTGTGGTCATGGGCAAGTTATTTTACCTCTGAGGTAAAACGGCCCTTTTCCAAGGCCCTTTTCCTGCATAGCTGGTGGAGGAAGTGTTCACACAGGTTTGGCTCCTTCCTTTCCACCCCTCCAAAATTATGCTCCATTCAGGAACCTCATTATGCTACCCAAAGGATTAGAACAACCTCGTGTTTGATGATTTAGACTAAAAATATCTAGGGCCGGGAAGGAATTTTCTACACAATTAACATATGCCTATCTGAAAGTTTAGATTTTGTTCCTGAAATGTCAACCTTTGGCACCCACATGAGTAGGATTTGGAAATAGCTATGAAGAATACGTAACTGACTGTTCCAGGAGAAAATGGGCTTTGGAACTCATTCTTTGAGAGTGAGTTAATAGAAGCATTTATAAATCTTGCAAGAAATGAGTATTGTGAAGCTACCATCATCCCCTCTTCTCTTCCCCATTCCCATTCTCTGCAATACTCATTCCAAAGACAAATGAACAATCAAGAATCCTGAAAAGCGGTTTATTTGAAAAGTCCTATCGGGGGAAAACGTATTTCCACTCTGAGTGCATACAGGGGCAGCAGGGAGGTGGTCCTTGCAGCTCACTGGTTACCTGGGGAACTGCTTCTCACCACTAGCAACCAGGCAGCCCTAAGGCTGGGGAGCACAAAAATCTTAGGACTTTTATTCACAATTCTCAACTTTGAGCAAAGGAGGGCCCTTAGTCAAGGAGTTATGCTTCCAAGCTCCAGTAAGCCCACTACTCATGATTCCCAGGTAAAGTGGTGCTCAGGAGCACGAGACTTCCTTTCCACATCATCAGCCGTGTGTGGGGGATGGTGTGGGGTTAGGGGGAGGGGACAAAAAGCAGTGATGGGAAGAGAGGAAGGATACCTTTGGGATATCAGGATAAAGGGGACAGAATCTTCTGAAAAGATCAACAAACTAAGAACAAATGATTAAAGTGAATTTCATCTTGAAAAATACTTTGTTTTAAAAACCTACAGCTACCCAAAGAAAGGCCTGTAGGGTCTGCACACGGCTTTGCTCCAGTGTTCCCAGCTACACAGCCTGTGTCAGGAGCCTAAACCTTTACCCTTTTCGTTCTTTAAGGAACTTTAAATACATATGAAGAGACTTCTGGATGGAGTCTTTGGATATAAAGCCGACAAAATTCTGAATGTCTGCTTCTCGTTGTTTCAACAGCTGGTCCACAGTAGGTTTTCTCATCATGGTTTTGGTAAGCTGTCGAGCATGGTCTAAAGACAGGGTTAACAGATTATTGATTTCTAGGTCACCAAGACTCAAACCAATTAAATCACAACCTGGATTCACAGAAATGCATTCCTACAAGTACGTCCTATCTTATGATGCTTTAATCAACTTTATTTTGTAATAATGTTAAGACCTAGCCGAATGACATCACAAAGTTCGACCCCATTCCCCAACACTATTAGACGACCAGCTTAACTCCCGCTCCCCTAGTGAAAGGAAGCCCACTTTACTGGGTGACACTGATGACCTCCCTACTGCAATCATGATCTTGACTTCTGCCGCCACACTCCGTATTTCAAGTTGGATCTTTTCTGGGAAGTCTAGACTCCCTTTCCAAATCCCTTACACCTCAGCACCTCAGTCTGATTCCTTCCTTGCCCATGTCAGTTCAGTGGTTTTGCTCTCCCCCTATTTCCAATTAGCTGTTTCTGTGGAACTTCCCTCATAATGTTGTTTCCTTTAATGTATTTTTCTGGGACAAACCAACAATGTTAGATTAGATATACTGGTAGAGTGAAATGTGTACATCACTTTGGAAACTCAAAGCTTCAAATGCAGCATTATAATCCAATATCTTTTTCTTTACGATAAAGTTTTCTCCTTTGTGATTGTAGTTTTTAACAAAAGGAGAGAAAAAAAATCAAGTGTCACTAACAGAAACAGTCCAAAGGGCACTCTCCCTCCATGACTAATCCCCCCTTTTAATTTAGTCCTAGCAGAGAGGCACCTTCTCACCTGGAATAGTCAGCCACTCAGACATCATACTGAGAGCTGTGCTCTGCACCTTGTCTTCTGGCACTATCTGATCCACAAGGCCTATTTTGAAGGCATCAGCAGGAGGGAAAAGCAACCCCCGCTGAAGGGCATGCTCTGAAGCTCTATTCCCAATCGTGTTTACCAGGGTATCTTTAAGCCTAGAATTAACAACAACAACACACACACACCCCAGTTAATGCTTGTATGGAAGGAATGAGCATAGACCAGGGGGGACCTACAGCACAGACCTCTAGGTCCTCAAGTGCAGCCCTGAATCCAAACTTCACAGAACAAATCCCTTAAGGGTCACATGTGGCCTTGAGGCTGCAAGCTCCCCACCCCTGGCACAGACTATCAGCCTTTTAAAAAATATAAGCACCTAGTTCTGACACTGAGGTGACAGACCGACCCCCCAAAAAAGAAAGCAAAAGCTTCCTTTTCAAGATGATATACCCGGCAGTGCAGAAGAAATGAGCCCGCCTGAGGAGGGTTACCATGGGGTCAGCCTTACCAGAAGGGTGCCACAATGCCCAGCAGGGTTTCATTCAGACCAATGGTGTACTTGGGATCGTCGGCCATGATTCGGTAGTCAGAAGCTAAGGACATCAGGCAGCCTCCGGCAGGGCTTGATCCCTAGAAGCAAAACCAAATGTTGATTTTAGGCAGTCTTGTTATCCCATTCAGCCGCAGCATCTAGACACTCGGAGTGAACACACAGGTCAGCAGATTCAGGGCTGGAAGACTCTGTTGCCACTTGTAATAGAAAGGAAAAAAGCCAATAAGACATGACTGTAGTGTTTGTTCTTTCTTAGCCTCCTGAGGTTCTAATGACAGACAAGAGGGTGTGGGAAGTGCTAAGAATGTTTCTATGGGTCAACTGATTTTCCATTAGGAAGGAAGCATTTGTAGGGATTTATAAGATGTCAGTCTGTTTTAGAGACATTTGTAACTGGTTTAAATGGTCCTAGATTAGAGGTAGCTGCAATGCAGTGGCAGGATTCTCAGATTTGAAGTTAAGAGGACATAGGCTCAAACCTGAGCTTTCCCATTAACTAATTATAACGAGTTTGGGCAGTTCTCTTCCTGTCTCTGGGCCTCAATTTCCTGAACTTTAAAATGAAGGGGCCAGGCTAGAGCCACTAGGCAATCACTAAGGTTCCTTCTAGATCTAAATTCTGTGATCCCTGAACTCTCAATAGAACCTTGCACAGGCTGACTGTGCTCTAACTAAAGGGCACATGGCCAGAGGAGCAAGAACACAATGTTTATATTTAAAACCTAAGTCCAAGAGGCAAACCTGAAGTTCTTCCACCTGTAACTTTTGTGGTCATTCAGTTGTTCTAGTCATGTCTGCCTCTTTGTGACCCCAATTTTGGGGTTTTCTTGGAATGGTTTGCCATTTCTTTCTCCAGCTCATTTTACAGATGAGGAAACTAAGGCAAACAGGGTTAAGTGACTTGCCCAGGGTCACATACCTAGTAAGTGTCTGAGGCCAGATGTTAAGTCAGGAAGATGAGTCTTCCTGATTCCACGCCCACACTCTATCCACTGTACCACTTTGCTGCCCTAGTTTTTACCTGGATGCTTAAAAAAAGCAATTTACAAGCCAGTTTCCTTTGAAGTCAGACAAAAAGGTAACTTGCATTGATCGCCGCTATGACCACCATGTTGGATGTGTACAGCTTCAGCCACAACTCTTGTACCGCTTTCCAGAACTCGGCATAGTGTGCTGCATTCTTTCCACACATTTCAGTAATATCCAGGCCAGCAGAGAAGATTTTGGGGATGTTCTGAAGTAATAAGAAACAACCAATCAATTAACACGCATTTATTAAGCACTTTACTATGTGAAAGGCACTGGGGATATGACAAAAATGAAACCCTCCCTACCCTATCAGTCCACAAGGAAAGATAATGTGTACACGAAAGCGTACACAAAAGATACACAAAGTTATATAATTTTGGCGAGAGGAGTCGGTGCTTGAGCCGAACTTCGATGGAAGCCAGGAATTCTAAGGGGCAGCAGAGGTGAGCAGAGACAGTATTCTAGGCATGAGGGGACAGTCAATGCAAAGGCATTGACAATGGACTTGGGATGGACCATGGAGTATGTGAAGGGGGCATAAAGTGCAATAATCCTAGAAACTTATGTTAGACCCAGGCTGGACCCAAGGAATTTGCATTTGATTTCAGAGAAAACAGGAGCTTACTGAGCAAAGGAATGATTTGATCAGACCTGTGCTTTACGAGTATCCAATGGCAAAAGTGTGGAGGAAGGATCAGGAAAAGGAAAGACATGAGGCAGGGAAACAAATTAAGAGGCTATTTCAATAATATAGGGGAGAGATGATGAAGGCCTGCTGGCTGTGTAAGTGGAAGGAGGAGCTAAATTGGATAGATAAAGTGGAGTAGAACTAATAAGGCTTTATAGCAGATTGGCTCTAATATCTTGAATAATCAATATTTAGCAAGAATCATTCACTCTTTAAAGATATTTCAAGCAAGTAAATTTTGTCATTTTAAATGTATTTGACTAATTATACATTTTTACTCAGAATTAAAACAAGTAAAATGCATTTTTTGACAAAAGCCTTCATTAGACTCAGTTTATCATTTCCATATTTTTCTAGCTTTTCCAACTTGGAGACTAATTCTTAAGCTGTAAAGGTCAGAACAAACATGGTTAAGAGGTGACCAAATCTATGTGCTTTTGCCTATCTTTTAAAAATGATTTCAACTATGCCTAAAGGGCTATAAAACCACACATACCCTTTGACCTAGCCATACCACTAATTAGGTCTGTATTCCAAAAGAGAAAACAAAAGACAAAGAGGACCTTTCAAACATCCCAAGTTACTGGAAGGAAAAAACACCACCACCACACTTTGATATGTTGACTATTTAACTTCTGTCAGTGATCTCCAAGGAATAGCAAGAGTATGGGAGGGGTAGACATGGGAAATGTTTTCCCTTTTATTGAATACTGAGACAACTGGGTTCTAGAAGCCATAGCCTGGTAAGAATCTTGTTGACATCTCTCAAAATTCTAAAAAGGATTACTGAGTGGATGGATGTGAACACAGGGAAAGGGAAGTAGTAATAATCACTAGGGACCAGGCCAAAGTAACATCTGTTCTTTTGTGATAGCCATTTGTCTAGTAAGTACTTCAATATTTGAAAGACCTGGAGTTTTGCTTCTGTAAACAATCCATTCAACAATTCCAATCACAAATCTTCCATTATTTAGGAAACAATCTTTGAGAGATTCTGTGGCTAAAAAAATTCATCACCATACCGCTAAGCTGGTGATAAGTCTCTCTGCACTCAGCAAGGCTGGTCCTCTAAACAGCTGGGTCCACCCTTGAAGCTTTCCCAGTGTGATTTAGGACCTGCTGTAGGTGGTGCTCTACTGGCAGAACTTTCTAGAACCAGGAGGCACATGTCTGCCATGAAGTCCACAGCAGGATTTCACTGCAAGTGTCTAACTATAGGGAAATGCTGTAGACATGGTGGATCAAAATGCCAGCATGGCACTTGACAAACCTTTGACCGATAACCTTGTAGACAAGAGGAAGAAATGAGTTTGTGAATTATCTAAGATATTTTCCCTCTCTCTCCTTTATACTCATCCGTTTGCAGCGAACTGAAGTTGGAGCTTCCACTACTGTAAAATGAGGGGCTGGGTTATATGATAAGAAGACAGTTTGATTCATAGCTGGCTAAACAACCATAAGAAAACAGTGCTTTAAAGATTGATGGTAAGAGGTCTTTAGAAGGATGCTTAACAGTTCTACCTGGACATATCTTGTTTTAGGTTTTATATCAGTGGTTTAAATAATTTGGTACACTGTATGGAAGGCCTTGAAAGCTGCAGATGCCTCAGACACACAGACTCATAGAACTGGAAGGGAGCTTGAAAGTCAGTTAGATGGATAAAGCCCTTCCAATTCTACTTCTCCCCCCAGAAAACAGTCCTTCTAGCCAGTGCTTGGAAATTCTGTCTGAACACATTTGACAGCTCAACTTCTTAGAAAGTTACTTATGTTTTTTTTTTAAATTTTATTTATTTATTTGTTTTTAGTTTTCAACATTCACTTCTATAAGGTTTTGAGTTCTAAATTTTCTCCCCCTCCCTCCACTCCTCCTTCCCCAAGACAATGTACAATCTGATATAGGCTATACTTGTATAATCACATTAAACATATTTCCACATTAGTCATGCTGTAAAGAAGAATTAGAACCAAAGGGACAACCATGACAAAGAAGAAAAAAAGAGAGAGAGAGAAAAAATAGTATGCTTTGATCTGCACTCAGACTCCATAATTCTTTCTCTGGATGTGGATAGCATTTTCCATCGTGAGTCTTTTGGAGTTGTCTTAGATCCTTGTATTGCTGAGAAGAGTTAGAAAGCTACTTATGGTTGTTTTTTTTTTGGTGAGGCAATTGGGGTTAAGTGACTTGCCCAGGGTCACACAGCTAGTAAGTGTTAAGTTTCTGAGGCTGGATTTGAACTCAGGTCCTCCTGACTCCAAGGCCAGAGCTCTATTCATTGCACCACCTAGCTGCCCCAGAAAGTTACTTATGTTAAAGCAATATCTGATCCCTTGTTACTTCCATCAATCTGCCCTAGTCCTGACACTTTTTTTTTTTGGTGAGATAATCGGGGTTAAGTGACTTGGCCTGGGTCACACAGCCAGTAAGTGTTAAGTTTCTGAGGTTGGATTTGAACTCAGGTCCTCCTGACTTCAGGGCTGGTGCTCGATGTCCACTGAGCCACTTTGCTGCCCCCTAGTCCTGATACTTTTGATCAGAACGGAAGTCTAATCTTTCTTTGACAAGACAGTTCTTTAAATATTTGAAGTCAACTATCATGTCTTCCTCCCTTTTCTCTGCTTCGAGTCTTCTCTTTTCAACAAGAGATTTTATTTGTTGGCATGTAGACAAAGCTTCAGGAGTTGTAGATCCTTTCCTATCAAAACTTCTTAAATTCCCTATTATACACTTTAATGAATGTATCTCTGAACAATTTAAAAGTAAATATAGTAACAAATGGATTTGAGAAACATAAAAAAAATAAACTGATATTAATATCAGAGAACTGTGAAACTATTTCTTTAAAGGTTACTACACAAAGCTAAGAGGGACAGCTGACACGTCAGATGACACAACGATTAAACAACCAATGTGATAAAACAAAATGTAACAGAGATGTGTAGTCATGCACTTAGGTTAAAAATAAATAAATTATACAACTACAGCACAGGAAAGACTTGGTTTTAAAAGCAGTTCTGCTGCTCTTTTCACTATTTCTCACAGGAGAGGAGTATGTCAGTATCACCATTATAAAGTCTTGCGTCTTAGAGACCCAATTATTAAAGCTCACATTGGCCATGTAGTGTTGTTTACCTATTAAGGGTTTTTCTGAAACCTCCTGAGAGTCAGGGAATACCTGAAATCTAATTAATTGTGTGCAATACGTTCATCAGAAGGTAATGCCATAAAACAACAGTGGTGGCCTGCACGAATGTTAGAACAAAAGAAAGCCAAGGAACAAGAATGCCAGGGATGCTTCTCAGGGGACTGCCCACAAGATGCCAACACTACTCTCAGCTCTATCTGCTAAGGTCAGCCAGTCCTCTATATCCACACACTGACGGAGGAGCCTTTTATTGGCTTTCTGGATGGATATTCTTGCAAGGCAGTGTGACGACTGACTTGAACATCTGGTCTCTTTAGCAGTCGTATTTATCACCGTCAACGAAACCGGCCTGCTGTTTCATTAATCAGTCTTGTGAGGTGGGTGGCACGAGCAAGTTCTACAGCCTTGTGGCCTGTAGGTGAACTGGTCAACCCAAATCCCTTGGTTTGCAAAGCTCAGTAGGAGACTCTCAAGTTGAAGTGACCCAACAACTGTCAGTCAGGAAGCATTTTTAAGCACTTCCTATGCACCAAACACTGGGCAAAGTGTTGAGGATACAAAGAAAGGCAAAAACCCCAAACACTTCCTGCTCTCAGGAAGCTCACAGTCTAATGAGGGAGACAACATACAAACAACTGTGTACAAATGAGACATGTGCAGGACGAACTGGAGATACTCTCAGGGGAAGACAATAAGGTAACAGAGAACTAGGAAAGGTTTCTCTCTCTCTGTCTTTTTTTTTTTGGCTTTTTGGTGAGGCAATCAGGGTTAAGTGACTTGCCCAGGGTGAGAGAGCTAGTAAGTGTCAAGTGTCTGAGGTCAGATTTAAACTCAGGCCCTCCTGACTCCCAGGTCAGAGCTCTATCCACTGCGCCATCTAGCTGTCCTGTAAATGGAATCACATTCAAATTCTTTTTTTTTTTTTTGGGGGGGGGGATGAGGCAGTCAGGGTTTAAGTGATATGCCCAGGGTCAGACAGCTAGTAAGTGTCAAGTGTCTGAGGTCAGATCTGAACTCAGGTCCTCCTGACTTCAGGGCCGGGGCTCTATCCATTGCACCACCCAACTGCCCCCGGAAAGACTTCTCATAGAAGGTGGGTGCTTAGTTGAGATCTGAAGGAAGCCAGGGAAGCCAGGAGGTGGAAATAAGGAGGGAAAGAGTTCCAGGCATGAGGGATAGCCACTGAAATGCAAAGAGTAAGGAGATGAATTATCTAGTTTGAGGAACTACAAGGAGGTCAATGTCACTGGACTGCAGAATATGTGACGGGGAGTAAGAATAAGAAGGAAAACTGGAAAGACAAGAAGGAACTAGGTTATGAAGGGCTTTAAGAGCCAAAAAGAAGACTATTTTATGTTTGATCCCGGAGGTAATAGGGAACCACTGAAGTTTACTGAATAGGAGGGGTGATGGAGACAGACCTGAGCTTTAGGAGGATCAGTATGTGAGTCGCTGATGGACTGGACTGGGGAAAGACCTGAGGCAGGGAGAGAAACCAGAAAGTTATTGTAGTTTAAGGGTAAGGTGATGAGGGCCTTCACCATGGTGGCAGGATAAGAATAGAAGACAGGATAGAGAGAAGAGATGTTATGAAGGTAGAAACTTCAGGACTTAGTAAATTATTGGACAGGGGGGTGAGAGTGAAGAGTGGAGGATAACATGTAGAAATGTTACAAGCTTGAATGACCAGGAGGATGGTGGTGCCCTGGACAATAACAAGAAAGTTAAAAAGAAAATAAGGCTTTGGGGGAAAGGTAATGAGTTCAGTTTTGGACATACAAGTTTAAGATGTCTACAAGATATTTAGTTGGAGATGTCCAACAGAGATGAAAAACTAGAGGTCAAGAGAGAAATTAGGATTGGATAAACAGATATGGGCATCATCTGCATAGAGATGACAATTATATCCAAGAGGGCTGATGAGATCACCAAGTGAAACACTACAGAATGGGGAGAAAAGAAGATGGCCCAGGACAGAGCTTTGGGGGAAACCTATGGTTAGCCGGCATGACCTGAATGAAGATCCAACAAAGGAGACCGAAAAGGAGCAATCAGAGAGATAGGAGGAGAACCAGGAAAGAGCAACACCATGAAAACGTAGACAGAAGAGAGTAGTAAGGAGAAGAGAGTGACTGACGGTGTCAAAGGCTGCACAGTCAGTCAGTCAGTCAGCAAGCATGTAAGCCCTTATTATGGGGCGATCATCGTGTCGGGGATACAGAGTAAAAAAAAAAAGACAAAAACACAAAAAACCCCAGAGTTTCTGTTCTTAAGGATCCCACAGTCTAATGAGGAAAACAACATGCAAACTATGTGCAAACAAGATTTATACAGGATAAAGTGGTGATAATCACAAAGGGAAAGCCCTAGCATTAAGGAGGATTGACAAAAGTTTCTTTCCAGTCAGGAGGCATAAGTGAAAGTGCAAACTGGTGTTGAAAAGCATGGCCAGAGAAGCTATGTCATCAGCAGAGAACCTAGTCTCAGTGAGAACAAGAAGATGGAAGAAGTGAGAAAGAAAAAGGTTTAAGATAAAAGTAAGTTTGTTCCTATGTAGCAGGCATTCCAAAGAGCACAGTGAAAGGGGTGGATAGCTTTAGAATGGGAAATTGGTAGGGGTGGGTTGAAAGAATAGGAATAAATGAGTGGTCAGTTTGGGATTTGAGAAGGGATTTGTACAAAGGATCGAGAAAAAGGAGAGGTCATACCTAGATAGGAGTATGTTAATCATTGAGGAATGAGTTCAAGGAGGTTATCATCACCCCTAAGGATTGAGTCTCTGGATAAGTCCTACCAGGGTGTCAGAAAGCAGGATCCTTTGTCTCTTAACTCTCCTCCCCCAGATTCTTCATAATCAATTGCTTCACAAAGAAGAAGCTTTTCATATGTTCTTAAGAATTTTCATTTTTGTCCTTTCTTCTGTTCATTCTGCCAACCTTCCCCATTGAACTATGAGTTTATCAAGAACAAGTTATTCATCTTCCACTCCCTTTCTACCTCCCTACAATGAATCTAATATAATATATATGTATACATATGTGTGTACATACATATATACATACACATACACACACACACACACAGAGCGCATGCTAGATGAATAAACAGATTTGCCTGGTCTATATCTTATGCTTTACTGATGATTTGGTTAAAGTTGTCCACACATCTTTGCTACAGGCTATCATGCCTAGGAAAAGTAATCAATAAGAATTTACTAACCACCTATGTGTGCCAGGCACTGAGCTTAGCACTGGCATTCCAAGACAAAAGTGAGTCAAGTCCCTGACCTCAAGGTCTATCTGGGGGGGACAGTGCCATTCATCACCCAAGGAGCCACCAGAAGTATTTTCAGGAACTCTTGAAGCTAAATTCCAAGAATACTTCTCTCCTCTCATTCACTCTACCAAGATAAAACTTTTGATTCAATGTATCATTCCTCAATTATGACTCTCATCCTATTAAACTTGGAGTGTGTCTTGTACTTCTGGCTGTTCTCCACTGGCTAACAGGCCTACAGAAGAATGCCAGACTTACTCCTCTCATTACCCTCCAGAATCCTCAGCAGGATCACCTATTCTCCTGGATTTCATTATTATCATGACAGTAATCCCCTTGTTTTCCAACGTGGAGAATTCTGGCTTTTGAATCTTGAACAAATGATAGATTTGCATGTTACCCAAAAAACAGAGCTTGGGGGCAGCTAGGTGGTGCAGTGGATAGAGCACCGGCCCTGAATTCAGAAGGACCTGAGTTCAAATCCAGCCTCAGACACATAACACTTACTAGCTGTGTGACCCTGGGCAAGTCACTTAACCCCACTGCCTAGCCAAAAAAACAAACAAACAAAAAACACAGCTTGAGGGAAAGTGAAATCAATAGTAAATCGAAATTAAATACAATACATACTGATGTTAAGATGACACCTCTGCAACTTTTATCATTTTCCAGTTTCTCCCAGCTTATTACAAATTCTGTTAGTAATTCCAGACTTAAGCTGTTTACTGGGGGATTCTTCAGCTTGATTGTAGCAACCCCTAGTTTACAAATGCAAAATGGAAAAGTTACCACTCTGAATGGAAAAGAGTCAAAGACAAATTGCTTAACCAATATAAGCACAAGAAACTAAAATACCCTTTACTATATAAGACTTGAATCCCTTAGATGGTCTCCCCAAAAGGTGGCCTGGCTGCACCAGATCTTAAATTGTATTACAAAGCAGTAGTCATCAAAACTAATTGGTACTTGCTAAGAAACAGAGTGGTGGATCCGTAGAATAGGTTACATACACAAGACACAGTAGTCAATAACTATAGTAATCTCCTGTTTGATAAACCCAAAGACTCCAGCTTCTGGAATAAAAACTCACTATTTGACAAAAACTGCTGGGAAAATTGGAAAACATTATGGCAAAAACTAGGCATAGACCAACATCTTACACCATATGCCAAGATAAAATCAAAATGGGTACATGATTTAGACATAAAGCGTGAAATTATAAGCAAATTAGGAGAGCAAGGAATAATTTACCTGTCAGATCTATGGAGAAGGGAAGAATTTATGACCAAACAAGAGATAGAGAACATTATGAAATTCAAAATGAATAATTTTGATTACATTAAATTAAAAAAAGTTTCTGCACAAATAAGCGGAAAGCTGGGAAACAATTTTTACAGCCAGTGTCTCTGATAAAGGCCTCATTTCTAAAATATATAGAGAACTGAGTCAAATCTATAAGAATACAAGTCATTCCCCAGTTGGTGAATGGTCAAAGGATATGAACAGGCAGTTTTCAGATGAAGAAATTAAAGCTCTCTATAGTCATATAGAAAAAAATGCTCTAAATCACTACTGATCAGAAAAATGCAAATTAAAACAACTCTGAGGTACCACATCACACCTATCAGACTGGCTAACATGACAAAACAGGAAAATTATGAATGTTGGAGATGTGAAAAATTGGAACACTGATGCATTGTTGCTGGAGTTGTGAACTGATCCAACCATTCTCGAGAACAATTTGGAACTATGCCCAAAGGGCTACAAAACTGTGCACGCCCTTTAATTCAGCAACACTGCTACTAGGCCTGTATCCCAAAGAGATCATAAAAAAGGGAAAAGGTCCCACATGTAGAAAAATATTTATACTGCTCTTTTTGTAGTGGCAAAGAAGTGGAAATTGAGGGGATGCCCATCAATTGGGGAATAGTTGAACAAGTTGTGGTACCTGAATGATATGGAATACTATTGTTCCATAAGAAATGGTGAGCTGGCAGATACAGAAAAACTTGGAAAGACTTGCATGAACTGATGCTGAGTGAAGCAAGCAGAACCAGGAGAACACTGTACATGCTAATAGCAACACTGTTTGATGATCAACTTTGTTAGACTTTAACTCTTCTGAGCAATGCAATGATCTAAGACAATTCCAAAAGACTCATGATGGAATATGCTATCCACATCCAGAGAAAGAACTATGGAGTCTGAATGCAGATCAAAGCTTAATATTTTCTCTTTTTTGTTTTTTGTTTTTGTTTCTTCTTTCTCATGGTTTTTCCCTTTTGTTCTGATTCTTCTTTCACAACATGACTAATGTGGAAATGTTTAATATGATCATAAATGTATAGTCTATATCAGATTACATGCTGTCTTGGGAAAGTGGGAATGCGGGGGAAATTTAGGACTCAAAATCTTATAAAAGCAAATGTTGAAAACTAAAAATAAATAAATTAATACTTTTAAAAAAGAGAAAAAAATCACCCAAAAGGATGGCCAAATAATGTATATGCTGACTTCTAATCTTAGGTATGGACAGGGAAAGGTGTTAGAGAAAATTATTTATCCTTGGATAAATACGGAATTAGCCAATAAGTATTTATTAATTGCCAAATTCATGTCCAGCAATATGCTCAATACCATGGCAATTCAGTTCAATTTAATAAAGCATTTATTACAACAGTTCCCATCCTCTGAGGTTGTAGTTATTGAAAATCTACACTTGCATCAAGCTTTGTCATTTTGATCTTTTACTGACAACAAAACATATAACATGACTCAGCAGAAGTAGACATACTTTCCACAAACGGAATAAATATTATGTATTAGATATATGAACTTTTTTTTTTCTAAAACCGCTGTTTTATTTATACAGAGCCAAGTCCACTTCAGTGGGGATATGGTTTGTCTTTCAATCCAGAGCCATTGATAAATGTGCTGGTTTTTACCAAATATCCTGGTCAGCACATAGTAGATTAGGGAGACTACAGTGTTAATCCCTCTCAGCTAGAGCTACAAGGTGTGTATCAATCTCCAATTCTGTGAGAATCCTGAATTTAGGATTTTCAACTGCAACTACCCCAACTTTTAATTCTGAATGTCTGAAATCAATGGATAGAACAGCAGACAGACATGTTATTGCTGTCTCTACTGTTTGTTCAAGTGTCCACTCAAATTTTTTCTTCACTTTCTTTTCAAGAAAACTGGTTGACTCAGTTTGTCTGACTCCAGCTGCAGTGGCCTTAAATTCACAGCAGTAGCCTGCAGGATGGCATTTATATACTTGAGGGACTTGTTCTTCATCAACACCAATCAATCATACAATAGCCAAGGGGCCTCATTTCAGCATTCTGTGTGTAGACCTGAGAAATATCTGCAATCCTTTTACACAACATATCCACAGGAATCTCGTAGCCATATTTGTATTTCCAATTTGCAGCCTCTTAGTGAGCTCTTTGCACCTGAGACCTGCTGTCAGCTGTCATCCCTGTCATCATAAAGCCAATGTTTTCAGTTATTCTAAGTGAGTCACTGTGCTCGAATCCAACAACTTGTCCAGTACTTTCTTTCTCTCTTTTTTTTTTTTTTGGCAATTGGGGTTAAGTGACTTGCCCAGGGTCACACAGCTAGTAAGTGTCAAATGTCTGAGGTCAGATTTGAACTCAAGTCCTCCTGACTTCAGAGCCGGTGCTCCTCTGGTACTTTCTTCTGCGTAACAATTACTGCACAGTCTTTCCCCTGGACAGCTACTGATGTGAGGCCACCCTGGTTAACAGCTTTAAAAGCATATTCTACTTGTTCCAGGCAGCCCTCAGGGAAGAAAATAGTAATGTGCCCATCAAAGCCGGCACTAGAGCTGGGAGACATTTTGGAGCATTCACTTTCTCTAGCTCCGATCTAACTAATCTTGCCACACCCTCCACGGCAGACATGCAATACCTATGAACTATTTTCTGTTCCAATTTATTACACACTACAACCATTAACAAACAAACAAAATAATACAAAATAAGGAGTAAAATCTTATAAAACCTTTAGCATTTAAGAAAGTAGAAGTAAAACAATTATGCCAAACTTTGTTGTTGTTGTTTTTTTTTGCTTTTTGGTGAGGCAATTGGGGTTAAGTGACTTGCCCAGGGTCACACAGCTAGTTTAAGTGTCAAGTGTCTTAAGGTCTGATTTGAACTTAGGTGCTCCCGACTCCAAGAATGAAACTCTATCCACCGCGCCACCTAGCTACCCCTGTTTTCTTGCTTTTGAAAATATAGTAGTAGTTACTGTACATACAGTTATGGTTCTGTTGATCTTATTTTACACCTTTGCAAAGACCTATATTTTGTATAGATGCTCCCATACTTCCTTGTATGTATCTTATTTACCATTTTAAAGTGCCATATTATTTCACATTAATAAACCACAATTTGAACAACTCTGGAACAGATATATTGTTTCCTTATTTGCTATTTTAAGTTGTGTAGCTATAAACATTTTTGTATTGATGGGTCCTTTTTACGATAAAATACTACCAAAAGAATCACTGAGTTGAAAAGAATGCTCAGTTTTGTGACCCCTACTTGCTTACTGCCATTGTGCTCATTAAAATGTTTGTGCACCATCTGAGGAGAAGAAAGAGGAAGCAAAAAAAGAAGAATCCGAGGAGTCCGATGATGACATGGGCTTTGTTCTGTTTGACTATTTTTTGTAACATTAAATAATAAGCTTAACTCAACTAAAAAAATGTTTGTACACTCTAACAATGTGTTAGAGCAGCTGCTGCCCTGACAACATCAAATGTGTTATTTTTCTTGCCATGTAAGGTGATCTCTTAAAGATGTACTTCTGATTATGGCATTAGAATATCTTTTCATGGGGTCAAGTACGTTTACTCTTTTGAAAATTATCTGTTCATGTCTTTATGTATCAGTTCCTTATTCTGAATGTCAGCCCTTTATTTGACACACACACACAGAGCAAATCTTTTTCCCTGGCCTATTTCTTTTCATTTTAGAGTTACTTTTTGTTGTACAAAAAACCCTCTTTTGTTTGTATAATAAAACCCACAGATTATGTCCAAAGCTTTCTTTTATTTGGTTAATAAAAATGCCTCTCCTCTCCATAATTGAGACAAATATATGATTTTTCTCCCCATTTTTAATGATTTTAAAAGTATTTAGATTGCTGAATTAAAGAGTTTATTGTGGTTGATGGCATTAAGTAGGAAGCCAAATTCATTTTTTGCCATATAATTATCCATTTTCCCCATAAGTTTTATTAAATGGGGATTCTATTCCCTAGTGTTTTTATATAGGTTTAATGAAATCCTAACATTTGTATGTGTTGAGTACTATTTCCTTGTTCTTTTTCTAGCATCAAAGTTTTTATAATTATTCCTTTATCACACATTTTGAGATTTTCACCAGTTTTTTCATAGTTCTTGATTTTCTTTTCCACCTATTTTTCTATATGAATTTTGTTATGACATCCCATCATCTTATAAAATTGCAAAATACCAATAGTTTAATATGTAAGTTAGTTATAAAAGTATTAATATTTTAAACATATTTATTCAACCTAATCATGAACAAGGAAAGATGTCTGCATTTGTTCAATTATTCCTTCATTTCTCTCAAAATTATGTTGAGGCTATTTTTATACAGTTCTCTTCTATGTCTCAATAGGTTAATACCCACATATTTGATTCAGTTTGTCTTAAGTCTAAAATACAATTTTCCTAGGTCAGCCAGGTGGTGCTACAGTAGAT